AAATTTCATAACTTTTCCACAAGCGGTTCTATGGGCTGCCATAGACTCAAAGAGCGGAGGAAGAAGAAGAAGAAGAAGAAGAAGAAGAAGGTTTCAATAGGTGAAATTGAAACCCTAATAACTGATTGATTGAGTGATTCGATTAATTGATTGATGTTCATATATAAATTCACAAAATTTTGGCCAAACTGTAAAGTCTTACAAACAAGCACATCACTTTTTTTAAAATAAACAAACAAACAAATAAAATCACATTGCAATTTAGCAATTTTAGTCTAAAAATCACAACTAGATTCTTTCCCTAACCTGTGCATCCCTAGATAGAAGGTTAAGAGGTCTTCAAAGTTGCATTTCATATAAAAATCATAAAAATACTCTAAACTAGCTGAGGTTTTCTTGAGAGATTACACCGAGTATGATAAATAAATAAGTAAAGCAGAGCATCTCAATTGGATCTGCTAAGCGTAACCAAACCCAACAACTTTGTTTAGCCTACAAAAATAAACCTCCTTAATCAATGCATTATGCATTAGGTACACCTGTCTTCCTTTATCATCCAACCCATTATTCAATTGTTGTCAACTGCACAATAAACATTGCTTTGTTTGCCATTCTAAAGTCTATATTTTAAAGCAGATCGTTCTTAGCCTCACAAAGAAAAACCAGCAGCCTGTGGAACTTCAAGATTAAGTTGTTAGGAGAAAAAAACTATAGAGAATGTGATTGCTATTGTTTTAGCACTTCCATTGAGCACTGTGATGCTCATTGTAGCAAAATGGAAAAAATGGCACAAAGCCCAGAAACATCTAAGATCAGACCATCCTACCAAAGTGTGCAACTTAATAAGAGGAGCAATTGTTAAAGAAATGAACAAGACAGCATCTACAGCCCTGACAGAAGCACAGAGCTTATTGGATGAAACGAGAGAAACTATCCCGACTTCACCAATCGTTCCAACACTTCAAAAGAGATTCTCTTTGAGAGCGGCTAGAAAGAAGTGACTTCTGGGAGAGGCTAACATTAAGTCTAAATTGAAGTTTGCTACATGACTATGGGATCAGATTCCTGTCTAAAGTATTGCGGTCATGGATAAAAAAATAACAAGCGTGAAAACAAAATTTAAAAACGCAAGTAAAAATATATTGCACAAGATTTAAAAATAAAAGCAAAGTTTTCAGTATAGCAAACAATGGTCACGGATAGAAAAATAATAAGCGTAAATCAGAAAAATTCATAACGCATTTTTAAAAATAATAAGCATGAATCAAAACTTTAAACACATTTAAAATCATATTGCACAAAACTGATGTCACACAAAATCATGTTTTCCTTGGTTATATTTCTCTGTTTTTTGTGCTCTCAGACATTTTCTGCACATATTTGTGTTTTTTGTATGCTTATGCTGTTTTTCCCTTCGCTCTTGTTTCCACGTTCTGCGCTTGCTTTTCCAAATGTTGCGGTTAGAGTTTCATGTAAATCAGGGCGGGTTTAAGCGTCATCATTGGTCCACTAGTTCTTAGATTGACAGGCATCGCCAGGTAGGCCTACAGCAGTGATAGGCAGACACATATAATGGTGTCCTGTATGGAAAGATGTTT